GTAATGGACTTTTCGCTCAGGAGAGGAATAGAAAGAGTGCGTTAGAACAGCTCATGAGCGACATTACATGCAAGGCTTTCCTGGAAGAGACAATTATGAAGAGAACAAGCCATCCCTGAAACGCAAGAGGGCTTAATGCGTTCTGTAAGGCTTAGCTGGAAACGACTGCTGCTTTCACTGATTGCAGACGTGAGACGATTTTAAAATATTTGAAACGGTTACTAACGGTCCTTGAGCCGTTACACTCGGTATTTAGCGGGAATTTAAATCGCTCGGCCTCAGATCCAGCCAATCAGCAGCTCGTGCTTCAGACATTAACCAATCAGCGACGTCGATTCACACACCCTTGAAGCCTAACCTCAAGTCAAATTATGAACTACAAAACAACCAGCACGTGAAGAGACTGATTATAAAGTTCCTGACTGATTCAGACGGAGTATATATAGCTGTCATTATCACGATTGTTTGCTTCAAGTAACAACGCATAGGTATTGCTATTAGTTTCGTCTTTCGTCCATCTGATGAATTCCCTGCCATTTTCGATTAAGAATTATTTCTTCTTGTAATTATTTCCCTGTTTTCATATTTAGAACAAGTGAGTTTTGACCATCAAGTCGACTTATCGTTCGCACGGAATTCAAGAACTAAACTAACTTTCTCTGCCCTCAAAGTAGTGGTAAATAGACTGCTCAAAGAATTAATAAGAAAAAACAACAAATGAGTGTTCTGATTTTAGTCTTATTGTTATTATTCTCATTGTTATCATCATTGTTATTACTTCCGCCAAAGAAATAATAATACTATTCTTGATAGCGTCTTTTGTTTATTTGTTTGTTTGTTCGATGGTTATTTGGTTGGCAGGATAATTCAAAAAGTTATGAATAATAATCTTTAATCAGAGGTGTGTCTTAACCCAACTTATGATTATTATTGTTATTGTTGTTATTATTACTGTTATTAACATTATTATCATTATCACCATCATTATCATTGTTCTTGTTGTTATTGTTAATATCATTACTATTATTGCAGCAGTAGCAGTATTATCATTATTAATATTATCATTGCTATAATTTTTTTATTACTATCATTACTATCTTTATTATATTATCATTATGATCATGAACGTTATTATCATTATCATTATTGTTGTTGTTACTATTATCATTATCATTACATATTAAAATCATCAACGTTATGATCATTATCAATAATTTTGTTGTTGTTGTTATGATCATCATTAATTGTCATCATTGTTATTATTATTAACATTACTATCATTATCCTCATTAACATTACTATTATTATCATAAATATTCTATTACTTATAGTTTTATTATCATTATCATTGTCATCATTATTAATATCATCGGTTTTCATATTATTATTATCACCATTATTATGATTCTCATTATTGTTGTCTGGCTGTTTATGCTGTTCTTATTCTCATTACTATCATTCTAACTATTTTATCACTAGTTTTGTTGGTTTGGTTGTTATCGTAAAAAAATATATAATCATATTGTAATAACTTACCTCTGTCTCGGTTTCCTTGACTGCACCACAACCACCATCTGTAAAATAAAGAAAAACTGATTTAATTCGTCATTCCGTTGAGAACAATGATAATGATAATGATGATTTAGGGAATGATGATGTCAATATCAATAACATTAACAATGGTGAAAGCATGATGAGGAGGATAGTGATGATGATGATATTGATGATGAAATTTATAATGATGATGATATTGATGATGAAATTTATAATGATGATGATATAGGTGATGTAATTTTTAATGATGATGAAATTTATAATGATGATATTGATGATGAAATTTATAATGATGATGACGATAAGTATGACGATGACAATGGTAATGATAAAGATGATAATGATGATAAAGGTCTTAATAGTAATGATACTGATGATAATAATAATAATGATGATGTTCATATCAGAAAAGAGGATGATAATAAGGATAATGAAAATGAAAATGATGATGATGAAAGTAATATTAATAATAATCATCATCATCATCATTATCATCACCATTAGTACTATCAGGGTGAAAAGGAATGGTAATGATGAAAATGATAATAATCTCTCTGTATGATGAAGATGTAAAACTAGGTTTATAAACGGTGAATGGGACTGGTCAGGGGTGAGCCACTGGCGTAAAAATATGATGAAGAAATTATTACAGAAAGAGATAGTGTGTCCATTTTTCAATGCTTCTATTATACACACACACGCACGCACACACACACACACACACACACACACACATACACACACACACACACAATCAAAGTAATAATAAAGAGTACATAAATTAAAACATACCCGAAAACAAAATATTAACAATCGCAACACGACAGACTCCATACAGACTGCATACACACACACACCCACGCAAGCAAAAACACTTACACAGACAACCACATCCATAGATACGCACATCAGCCTAATAAACGGGATAAACGCACCCTGTATGTAT